CCCCCGGCCTCACCTCCATGGCTCGCACCCACATGCAGAGGGGCTTGGCGGCCAACGAGACCCGCCCGATGATGTCCGGCTGGAAGTCCGGCTGGGAGCAGTAGGCGCTGATCTTCTTCAGCACCTTGTCGGAGATGTTGTCCTTGTCAAAGTAGACCAGCTGTTTAATGAAGTTTGGCTCGCCTGGGGAAAGTGGAAGGAAGATGGGACCAGAGAGCCAGAGAGCCGCACCCCCCGCCGGGGTCCAGCAGCCGCGGCCGGAAAGCCAGTGTGGCGCAAAGAGCCAGAGTCCAGGAGCACCCTAAAGGCCCACAGGATTTGTGGCAGGGTAATGGAAGAAGTGAGCAGTGACTCGCGAAAGCTCCTCCCTTGCCAAACATTTTTTGCGAGCCTAGAAGAAGAAGAAGAAGAAGAAGAAGAAGAAGAAGAAGAAGAGATTGGATTTGTATCCTGCCCTTCACTACCCAAAGGTGTCTCAGAGCGGCTCACAAACTCCTTCCCCACCCCACAACAGACACCCTGTGAGGTTGGTGGGGCTGAGAGAGCTCTTGGCAGAAACTGCCCTTTCTAGGACAGCTCTTGTCAGAAGAACTATGGCTTTGCCCAAGGTCATCCAGCCAGGTGCAAGTGGAGGAGTGGGGAATCAAACCCGGTTCTCCCAGATTAGAGTCCGCGCACTTCACCACGACACCAGACTGGCTCTCATTTTAAGGCGCTGATGGACTCCTGCCGTTTTCTACTGCCACGGACTAACACGGCTTCCCCACCTTGATCTATCTCCAGTGTGGTGTGGACTGCTGGATGAAGAGCCAGGAGGCCCCGGGTGCGTATCCCCTGCTATGCCAGGGAAGCTCACTGGGCAACCTCGGCCCAGCCGCCCAGTCTCAGTCTAACCGGCCTCACTGGGTGGGGGGGGAGGGGGGAATGGTATTGTGAGCCACTTTGGCTCCCTGCTGGGAAGAAAAGCTGCGTAGAAATATGGAAAAGGACAAACATCAGGCGGCCGCCGGGAGGCAACCAGTCCGCAGAGACGCGTTCTCCGGCTCCGCCAAGACTCTGCTCTCAGGACACCCCACCTGGCCTCAGACCAACGGCCCCTCCCCCCCCCGGAGCCCTTACCCAGCTGCTTCTTGGCTTCGGCCCACGTGGGCTCACTGCCCCGCAGGATCATGACCGCCTGCATGACGGTCTCCACGAGGGTGGGCGGCCGGCCGTAAGACTTAATCTCGGTCAGGTCCTTCTTGTTGAGGGACTCCAAGGCCTGGGGGGGGGGGAGGACAAGAGAGGAGCGGCCCTTCAGGACACATCGCCACAAAGGGAAGAGATGGACGCGGCCCACGTGAACCACCGGCGTCACCCACCCAGCTGGAAGAGCCCAGTTTCTCGGGGCCCGAACACACAGGAAGCTGCCTGATACTACTGAATCAGACCACTTGTCTACCAAGGTCAGTCCGGTCTACTCAGTCCAGGCAGATGTCTTATTCATCCCCTCCTACTTGGTCCTTTTAACGGGAGATGCGGCCCGGGACTGAACCTGGGGCCCTCTGCATGCCAAGCAGAGGCTCTACCGCGACCTCATGGATCCTTCCTATCACCTGAGCACAGGAAGCTCCCTCCTACCGAATCAGCCCCTTGGTCCGTCAAGGGCAGCATTCTCAGCTCAGTCTGGCAGCCGCTCTCCAGGGACTCAGGCGGAGGTCTTTCACATCGCCTACCGCCTGGGCCTTTTAACTGGAGATGCTGCCGGGGATTGAACTTGAGACCTCCTGCACGCAAAGCTCTGCTTTGCTCCGCCACTGGGCCACGGCCCCTCTCTTGGCAGGGGGATAAAGGCTGGCAGAGCACCCGGATGCTGCGGCCCTTGCCGGTGGAGGACGTGGGATGGCTTGCGGGGGGAGAGGGGAAGCCAGGGAGCCAAGAGAAACCCAGAAGCTCTTCTCATTTCCCTGCTTTGGCAGCAGGATTGTTGAGAAAAGAAACACCACTGCTGGCTTTAAAACCTGCCATCAGTATTGTCCCAACGCGCACGTTGTGAGAAAGGAATTCTGCTGGGCATTGGACACGGGTGGCTGCCGCTCCGCGACTCGTGCCCGTGTGCCAGCCCCTGCGGGTCTCTCCGGGGCGGCCTCTGCTTCCCGCCCACCTTCATGGCCTCCTCCAGGGCAGGCAAGGCCTCCTCCAGGTCCTTCTGGGCGTTGTCAGCCAAAGCTTTGCACTTGATCTCCTCGGCGGCGATCTTCTCACTGTTTGCGGTCACCGTCTGCGGGGAGGAAGGGAGGTGGAGGTCTTAAACATGACACTGAGACAGTCTGAGCCGCGTGGGCTCCGCTCCAACCTCCCACTCGACAGACTCAACCCAACCGGCTTCGGAATCAAATAAACTCAGCACCCGTGGAGGAAATGCCAAAAGAACGGACAGGGGAATAAGGTGGTTCAGGAAAGAGGATAGAAACTATTTACAGGTGTAACACAGTTGATAATTTAGGAGAGTAGAGAGCAGTTGGCAGCCAAGGTTGTCCTCTTGAGGCCAATATTGGCCTTCTCTCAGGATTCTCATAGTGATGAGAAAATTCCAGTGCACAGAGGTTGAGTTAATCGGTGAGTAAGATGTTATGTTGATGTTTTAAAATCTACCCTTTTATCTCCTCTTGTAACCTACTGGAATCATATTCTTTGGCTTACTTCTTTCTTAAATACAATAACATTTTACGGGGGGGGGGAAGGATTCTCATCGTGTGAAGGTGAGCTCCTCTCAGAAACCACTAGCTTCCTTCTGAAATTGGGGCTTCCAGACAGGTACGGTCTGTTCCTCAAGGTAGCCTGCTTGATCACCACAGAGAGGTTCTGAGGCTTCCAAAGTCTCCTGGGACAGGTTCTCTCACAACTAGAACTCTGGCGATGCAGACCCTGTCTCCACCCGTTCCCTCGTTCGGCCTGCTTCTGCACAAGGCAGACTCAGAGACAGGATTTTTCCGCGAGGGCCGAGGGAGGGGCGGCGGCGTGGCGGCTCCGGAGCGGAGCGGAGCGCCGGGGCCAGAGTTCTCCCTCCCTCCCTCCCTCCCTCCCGGCTCCTCCAGCCATTCCAGGGGCCCAGAGAGGTAGGTGCCCCTGGCTCCTGCAGTCCCCCAGAGGGGAGCTGGCTGGCCCGCCCGCCTCACCTTCTGCTGCTCGTCGGCCTCTCGCTTTTGCTGGACGATGATGACCAGGTACTCCTCGCACTGCCTCTGGAACTCGGCCACCTTCCTCCGGGCTTCCTCCAGTTCCAGCGACATCAACTCGACCTTCTCCCGGGTCTCGTTGATCTTGAAGAGCCCGTTGCGGAGCTTGTTGATCTGTTCGGACAACTCCTTCCGCTTCTCCGCCAGGAGCCTGCCGGGAGGGCCGCGGGAGACGTCTGCAACGGTCTTCACCCAGCACCGCCCCCCCCCGATTGGCGCTCCCCCAAGCCTTCCACACAGGTAGGGTCTCCTCTCCCACCCCACCGGGCTCCCCCAGCATCCGGCGAGGCCCCCTTACTTCTTGTAGCCGGAGACCAGCTCCAGGTAGTTGGTGGGTGTGACGTAGTTATGGCGCCGTAGCTCCAGCAGCATCTTCTGGGAGTAGCGGGCCACAGACCAGTGCATGGTCACAAAGATCCTCGCCACTCGCTTGTGGATCTGGGCCGGAGGAGGAGGAGGAGGAGGACGGTGAGGCCCTGCAGGAGGAAGAGGGGGGCCTCCAGCCCCTCACCCTCTCGGGACGGCCACGGCTCCTCACCGTATCGAGGCTTCCCCTTTCCACGCTTCCCAGATCCACGCCCTCCAGGTACTTCTCCGCCACCTCCAGGAGGGCCTCCTTTGGCCACTCGGAGAACCAGTCGATGGTGGTGCAGTTCACCAGGGCCGGGTACTGACGAATCCAGTTCCTGGGGCAGAGCAGACTGAGCGTCCCTGCCGGGCTCATTCCATTCCCACCCTCCGTGGCCCTTGGCTCCCTACCCCCATCCCACTGGGGTTCAGACCGGTCGGACAGCAGTCAGTCTCTGCAAACCAAAGAGGGATGGAAGTGGAGAGGAAGCAATCAACCGTGATGTACTGTGCCAGAAAAAAGGACCTGTAAATTCTTTTTTCCGTATTCAGTTTACTGGAAGCAATTCAAACGCCATCAGCACTCTAGTCATACCTCATAGTCACATTCATCACATCCATCAGTGTGATGTCTAGAGTGTTTGCCGAGTGGATTAATATTATACAGGTATTTCAAGGCTACCCACTTTGAGAAAGACATACACGGAACGAGACGTCATGTGCGTGGTTCGTTGGTGTCGATGGCGTTCGAACTGCTTCCAGTAAACTGGATACTGAAAAGCAGGGGTCGTTTCGTAGAAAAATAGCTAGGGGAACTCATTAGCATAACTCATTAGCATATGCCACACCCCCTGACATCACCGGAAGTGTGTCATAAGGCCACACCCCCTGACATCGCCAGAAGTGTGTCATAAGGCCACACACACCGCCCCCAACGGTCCCGGCCGCCACCGCTGGCCTTGCAGCTCCACTGCCAAGCCCCATGAGGGGCCTGGCGGTGGACCTGCAAGGCCGGCGGGAGTGCAAGGAAGCCCCGCGAAGGCCCTCCCTGGCCTCAGGCAGGCAGGGGTGGGGAGAGGCAGGGAGGAAGCAACTTACCCTCCCTCTTCTCCTGCCTCCTCCTGGCTGAATGAGGGCCGGAAGCGGGGCAGCCGGAAGCAGGGGGCGGGGCTTCGCCATGTGCCCCGCCCCCCGTACCTCACCCGGGGGAACTGCGATCCCCCGCGATCCCCCCCGAAATGACCTCTGCTGAAAAGAGAAGTCTGCGAAGAACTTCTTGCGGCACTACACGTCACGGTTCGTCTGCTTCCTTTCAACAGCCAGTCTCTGCCTGCAGCCCCTCCTGTCCACCAGGGGTCACCGTTGCGCCAAACAGAAAACTCACTCACCGGAAGGGGTCGCCCACGGGGCTGAGGCACAGGACCACGTGCAGGTTGTTCCGCACCCTCTCGATCAGGTAGGCAAAGAGGCTGTCCGGGCTCTCCTGGATGCCCTCCGCCCGAGCGGCATCTATGATGTGGGTTTGGATCTGGGGGCGGAGAGAGGGGCGTGGCACCGCAAGGCCCGGTGCCCTTTCCCAAGGGCCTGGCAAGGACTTAGGACTCCTCGGCCACCAGCCCCCACGCCCCCTTCCCCTGCCGCCTTGCAACACCGCCCCCCCCCCTCCACCGCTGCCTCTTCCAGACTTATTTCAACAGGAGGGG